GGACGATGCCCTCACTGCCCAACGCCGAGGAGGATCTCCCCATCGCAGAGGTCCTCCACCTTGCAGCTGACCAGGCGCCCAGCAGGCTGCCGCTGCGGTGACGGATCTGCACCAGGCTTCGGGGCGCCTCGCATATCGGCAGCTCGGGTCAAGCACCTCAGTGGGGTAACTCGGGGAGGGGACCGGACACATCGTTGCAGGCGGAAAAAGGTGTGGGGGGGAAAAAAATGTCTTAACGCAAACCTTGTCAGAGCAGGTGGCACAGTGCGCAATGCATATCGCACGCGCGGCGCGACGCAAAAGGTCAACAGTAGCTTTGTGACTTCGGCATCCTTGAAAGGAGTTGGTCGAGCAAGGATGCCTGGGTTTTGGAGATGAAGCCGAGGCCCGCCCCTGCACATGCATGTTCATCAGGCTTGCAAAAAAAAAATCCATGGCAGAAATGCCGAAGGACAACTTTTGGCCCGAGGTTGCGTAAATTCGGCACAAACAAAACGTCTTGTGCATTGAGGATCTTGAAGTTGGTGGCCGGCGCGCCTGCTAGCATGCTGCCGTGCACGGGCCGCACCAGCCCCCGTCTTACTGGGCATTCGCGTTGGCTGCAATGTTAGATTTTTTTTGCCATTGTGGCGGTTGGACGCCTTTTTTTTTCCCTCCGCGGATGCCAGGGCTGTATGCTGTAAGGGGCTTCGCTGGATGACTTGTGGGTTCTGATGCCGATGTGCAGCGCCCTGGGCATCTGCGTTGTGACCGCGGTGGCTGCTTGCAGACAGGTCCGTATCAAAAACGGGTCGTGACTATGGATCTGTTCCTGACGCATGGCAGGCAGCACTGGTTGCCGCTGCTTTCAAAAAACTGCAACCCTGGTTTGCACGAAAATTCTCGACCAATTTCTTTGATATCTGTTGGGCACAATTTTTTTGCCATGATACTGGTCGTTGGCAGGAAGCAGGCGCCGAACAAGGCATCTGGCCAACACAATTGGGTTTTCGAACGGGCAAAGGTTGTTGAGATGTGGTTTTCTTGTTGCTCGATTGGGCAGGGGCGTTTGATTCCATCTGCACGTAATCGACTCGGACTTCCTGCACGTTTGTGCGACATCATTCTAAAATGTACGCCGACAGACGTTTGCGTTTGGGTTCGGGGGAAATGTTCTAAACAACGTGGCCAAAAAGCATGCGTATCACAAGAGTGCCCGCCTCTTTCACCCTTCTTATTTTCCATTTTAGCAATGGTTCTTGCTTTCAGACACATCCAACACGATGCCTGGCAATGATACCGAGGATGAACCCTCGTTGGTGCACGAATTGGTATATGCTGACGACACTCTGTTGGCTGCTTTGGAAGTAATGCCATGGCAATATTGTCTTCAATTACATTACCAACCCTGACTCTTCCATCCCCCAAATTACACTCGGACATTTCATCGTGTTCTTCAGCCTGCCCAAATTCATTCGGCCAAGACATCGAGTAACGCCACGTATGATTTTTAGTGGGGGAGGTGTCCCCGGAACTTGTGCAACAAACAGTGCGCATACATAAGTGCAAATCTCGCTGGGCAATGTTTAGGGTTGATTTTGCCGGCATGTGTTGTTTTGTGAGCGGTGTAGGTTCAAGAGTCCATGGTCCATGATTGGCACGTAGCGGGCCATGTCGCTGTACCAGACGCGTTCGTGCGACTCGCTGGTGAAACTGTCTGGTGCTGGATGCTTAGGATCAAAAGCTTGAATCACATGGAATGTTGCAAAAATAATGCAATGATACCGCAAGGTTCGCACTCAACCGAAGTGGTCGTTCCGCGGGAAACCGTTGCTTGTCATATAGGTCGCATATTATAGTGTGACTTGCCAAAAAGATTTGACTCAGGAATTCCGATGTCCGCGCAGAAACGCCCGGGCCAGCTCACTCATTTTGAAAATCACGGCACAAATTCCCTGCTTTGCAATCAAGCATGCTCCTGTTGTTTGGAGCGAGTTTTTCATTTTTTCCAGGCCAGGGCAATACACCTCGATGGACTCGGCGGGCATCTGAGTGACGACGTGCCGTTGCAAACCAAGCCAGATGCATTCTTGCATCATAAGGTTAAGTATTCGACGTGCAGACCTTAATTCGCGGAGCTGCATCTTTGAATTGTCATATGCTGTTGGATTCCTCGCTGGTTTTTCCATGTCATGATCCTCATGATCGCCTTGAGAGGCCTTGATGTTGGGATGTGGTGTTTTCTGAGGACCAAGCATGGATTCGGAACGTCGCCACGAGACATTGGCATTTGCCTAAGCAGGGGTCGTATCTGATTGTTGGTGGATGGTTTCTCATCCAAACAGATGCAGACAGACAGTTCCCACTCTTCACTGAGTTCGGCCTGCCACGTCGCCTGGTCCTGGAGAGTGCGCCGTGGCCGTTTGTTGTTGGCGTCACAATTTTATGCGCTTGAAGGTACACACCAGCCCAGACCCTGAACAGGAGTGGCCATCAGTATGGCGTTGAACCAAGAGAAAGGTCATGTGATTGCATCTCACACATTTCCGTCTGGACTGTTTCTTAAGATGCGCATCATGTTTTGCACTGGCAAGGCTTCGGGACGTCGCAAAGGCAAAACCTGAAAAACAGTGCTTCGGTCTCAAGCCCAGGTCACGGACCCAGCTCATATGAAATCAAGTTTTTTGTTGGGGCCTCTGTTGTCCATAAGATGTTGTGTTCCATATTTTCTGGAGCCTTGGCCATTTTGCGCAGAGATGTTGTGCCAAGTTCGCAGCAAGTGTCAACACCATTCTTCAAAAAGATTCGTGTTCGACATTGTATTTGAATTTTTTATTCTGAGGCAGATGTGGGCGTTCTGTAAGTTGAACATGTCCCACCTTATTGGCATATGAATGCCGTTTGTATCGTTTCATGAGTGTCCACATCGTACTTCGTATCATAAAACAGTTATGGGGACCAGTGTCAATGATGAAACCCCCTTGCGGTTTGTTTTTTCGCGATAATGGCTTCCCTTTCGTGTGTCTAAGCCCTAGCGTATCTGATCACCCAAAGATCTACTCATGAACAAAAAGTCAGGTATCCGGCCCAAGCCTCCTCTCAAGGGTGAGAATGTTATTACCCGTCACCATGAGTCTGACATGCTGAGGTCCTGGTGCCTACACGCAGTCCCCTCGCTTCGGTCGAGAAGGCCCAAAGTATACGGCAAACGCAAAGCGAGGAGGCCTGGTGGGAAAGCCAAGGGTGCCAGTGCTAAGTAGCGGTAGCAGGGATTTTGTCATCAGAAACAGCAAGGGATCAAGAAATCAGAGCACGTACCAATTTGCAGTGCGAGTGCCAAGAATTGGGGTGGTAGGGGGGGGGTCATGTGAGGAAACAGCCACGCAACTATGTGCCTCATTTGGCCTTGCGTCAGGAAGAGAGGTAAGGTCGCATTCGAGACACATCCGCTGCTCTCATATGGTGATCTTGCGACAATCATGGGATTCAAACAGGTGGGCGATTTTTTCATTGGGCCTCAGGTCTACATACATCATCAGAATCATGAATGCTTGGGCACTTGTTGTTTTGGCGTCTTATCGCTTAAGGAAGGCAACAACCCCCAGTTTTCTCATGGTTTACATCGCAGTTTCGCTCGAGTGGTCTCGGGTGAACTCTTCCGTGCAGTCGCTCAAGAGCAGTCTCATGCAGGGTTTCATAGAGATCCCCTATATGACATTCTATGACCAGATAGTATATATATATATATATATATACATAGAACCCGCGTATGTGAGCCCTTGGATGCCATAGCTGACACGAGTTTCATACCAGGCTACAAGGTCTCAGAAGTGCCTGGCCCTGGTGCGTGACCGGACTGCACTCCGAGGGCGTGTTTTGGATAGCCCTTGCATAAGAAACCCTCCTTTGGCCATGGGGTCCACGTGCCTGGTTGAAAGAGATGGGATGCATGTAATCCATTGTAAAAAGGAAGTCCTGAACAGCTTAAGCGATCTTCATTCTGATACGTGCAGGGGGCGGCGGGCGGGAGGAGGCCGGGGACGGTGGGAGGTGGTGGCCGGGCTGGGCGCAAAGGGCGGGCAGGAAGGCGAAGGAGTCCCACGTGGGGAATGGAATCCCATGATGTTGACCCAAAGATCAGATTTCGCAAAACAGCATTCCTCATATGAATAGGGCTGAATTAGTAGTAACAACAAGAATGATCGCATCAATGAAGGAGCAAATAACTTCTTACTAACTTCTTACCATTGCCATTGAAGCCTTGTTCTGGGGGATGGATCCCTGGCTCCCCGATTGCCATGCCTAGCCGCATGCTCTTCTTTGTGCAGGTTGATGGGCTCGAAGCTGTTTCGTTGAGGGCTGTCTCGCTACAGGGGGTCCCCTGCAGGACATTGGAAAGAGTCTGTGCGTATACGGGGACCTAATTCTGAGACAGAGCCAGTGTTTATTCTCTCCTTGCCTGAGGCCAGGATAGCACTTTGAGTGCTTGTACTATCTTTTGCTGGGCCCTTCCATTGATTTGACATGCCTGACCTGGAGTTGATTTGCTTGCCAGGCTCCCCTTGGACAGCCAAAGTGCTGTGGATCCTTGATGCAGCTTCCATTGATGTGAGCAAGCGTCCGTTCGAGCCTTTTGTTGATGAGATCTGGCTACGTTACAAGCTTGGTTTGTGGCCATGGCATGGGCGATTCTGGTCCAGGATGACTGTCCCAATTGGAATCGTGAACCCAACCAGCATCGCTAGCACGGGGAGTGGTAAGGCAGAGGTGATGATGGAGTCTTTTGATATTGCAGAGTGGGCATTGAATCGTTCTGCAGTAGTAGAAAAGCCAACCGATGCAACGCTTTCGAAACTTCGCTACTGGAACGATCTGAGCGACGTGATCCTGCGTTATGGCCGTGCTTTCTTTGTGGATGCGGCCAAGCGCGACGTCCGCGTGGCCATTGAGGTCTTATCCCCACCCTGGATGAAGAAGTTGCCGTACATCATCACCAAGCCATTGATGTATGTTGCTCTTCGGGTCTTCGCTTTCAAATATCGGCGCGAAAACGCAGACAGCAGCTTGGAAAGCGTACTTCAAGCAGTTCGGAAGATTCGGGCCGCGCTGAAGGAGGGAAAGGGGAAGTACTTGATGAATGACAGGTGCGGGGGTCTTGAAATCTTAGAAAAAACCTGTGGGCATGTCGGCGTTTTATGTGTACTAGAGGTGGCCCTCCGGTTTGAGACATTGCCAGGCTCTCATACGCAGACATGGTGATCGCCATTGCTCTAGATTTCCTTGTGCCAAGCGATGGCGTCCTGCTCTTCTCCATACCAAAGAAGTATCGTGCTGATGCTGATGATCCTCTGCGGGAGTTTGAAGACGTGAAAGCCTGGAAGCTACAGATGTTTGAGCACCTTCCGGCTTGTCTCAGGGTGTCCACTTAGTGTTTTTCCTGCACAGGCTGGTAGGACACCTGCAGACAGATGATTTAAGGCACAGAAATCAATGCAGAAGAGATGCGCGCGTACCAAGATACTCTGGTAACAGGCAGTAGGGAATCTTCGGATCAGCCCGCTGTCCTGAGTAAAAGCAAATGTGTACCAAGATACTCTGGGCGGGCAAGTCATTCAGGGAAGTATTTACCCGGACTGGCACATGGAAGAGGATAGAAGAGGTAATCAGAACAAAGTCTTACCTTACCTGTACTGACGGCGGATGTAAAGTGATAGGCAAACAGGCCGTGGCTTTTGCCCGCAGTTTTTTGGACGGCATCCGAGGTATCACGCAGGCCAGGCGACTACGGAGTGCAAGTCTCGGAAACATGTGGGCCATAGGATTCAGGGCGCGGCGCATACGTCTGGGAGTTTTGTTGTGTTGTGTTTGCTGGTTCACATGACCCTGAAGTCCTGGAGTAGACATCTTGCGCCTGGGTTGACGGACCTGCACCATCCTGAACTCCACACTTGCCCAGACTGCCATTGCGTGTACTGGCCCTGAGACTTCTGAGGGTGAGAGCCTGTGAGAGAGAACACGAGCAGGACAGACAGGCCGACCAATTCACATTTGAAACCTTGATTTGCTGGGTGTGCAGCTGCTCTTTTGACAATCCCGGTAGCCCTGAGGAGCCCAAGCCTTTAATATCATCGCCGTAGCGGTAGAAGCAGGGACAAGATTTGCAGGATGGTCTTGCGATGTCTCGCGCACGAATTTCCGCTGAATGAGACGAATGCTGAATCTAAGTCCTCCACTCCTCCACTACGGTGGAAACTAAAAATTCTGCATGAACCTTAGTACCCTAAACCTTGGGAATAATGGTGCTTTAGTATATTAAGGTCATGCAGGATTTCTAGTATCAACCGTATCAAGCCCCGAATCCCTGCTGGCCTTGGCTGGTATTATCTCTATATAACTCAATATTATATTATCCCAATATAATCCTATATAACCCCAATATGTACCCTGTTATAGTAGTTTCGATTTTATTTTCCATTATCCCAATATACCCACAATATAATAACCCAAACATAACCCCACTATAACCCAAATATTGTTACCCTCAAGCTCTGAGGCCTCCCCAGTTTCCCTGCAGCCATCAACATCACATTCTCTTCAAAAGCCCTTTGTGCACACAGCCCTCAAAACTTCGTAGAGTGGGCTGTGGTCCAAACCCTAAACCCTAAACCCTAAACCGTGTCCGTCCATGCAAGGTCGACGGTCCCAGTGCGGTCGCCGAAGTGGGGCTTCGGTACCTCCGCGCGCGAGGCTGGGGATGTTAGGGTTTAGGGTTTAAGGGTTTAGGGTTGAGGCCTGAAGCTAGTGCCTCCGCTAAATCCCTTGACACTCTGAATTTCGTCAACCATAACCAACTATCTCATAGTCCCAATACACTATACTATAGTTTCCAGCTTATTTTCCATTATCCCCAACTAACCCATATAACCCCAATACATACCCTAATCTCTGAAGTTCGAGACGGCAACCCGAGTCAGACTTGCAGCTCCTCAGAAGTGTGCAGCACAAAGCCGAAGCCCTCAGCGTAGAGCTCCTACATTTTATATAGGTGCTATATACTTTTTCGTTTTTTGTTTTGTAGTAGGGGTTGTATTTTTTTTTATATGGGTTATATCGTTTCTTTTCCTAGTGGTTATATCTTTTTTTTAGGGCTGTATAGGGGTAATATAGGGGTAGTATAGGGTTAATGCAAACGAAAATGGAAGCTAGTATTTGCTGGCTTCACCCAACTCCCAGCAGTATTGCGACAGTACTTGCTTCCAGAACCATCATGTGGACCATAATGCGCGCCCCCAAGCCTTATGACATTGTAGGTGACGTGATCGAACCCGTAGTGCTTAAACCCAGAACCTGAATCCTACATCAGTTGGTGGGTTCGTTTTTAGTTGGCGGCATCCTTATGTGGCTGTCTAGAGCTGCATTCAGTCGCAACCATTCATGTTTTTTTTTTGGAACCGGAAAGCAGACCGCCAACTAGAGTGGCCTAAGCCTGAAGTTATAAACAATTGGTCTTACGGGTTCACCCTCTGGAGTCAAATAGAAACAGAGGTCTTACCCAACTTGGAGCAAAAACAAAAGCCTAAACCACCTGTCGCTTTTTCTGTTGCATCTTTTCGCTCAGGGCCAGCTTTCGAGCCACGGCCCAGGCGTCTTGCAATGCTGGAGGGCTGGGCTTAAGGCCAATAGGGTTGAGTGTTCAGCGGTTTTGAAGCTCAGGGTTTAGCTTATTTGAGAGGAAAGATCCTGTACTGACCCCAGCACCGGAAGCTCGTTCTTCTCGTCATAAAGAAGGGGCAAGAACATCAGAAGTTCATCGCCCTCTTAAGCAGGGCATGTCCACATCTACTTTATCTTTGTCTTCATGAAACAAAGATCAAGCGGCCGCACGGCAGATGGAGCGGCCCCACCTCAGGCAGATCAGAATGTCTACCGCTTGCGATGCCGTGCTAAATCTAGCGCACTGCCCTCAATTGCTTCACCAGTTCATGCAGAACTGCACGGAGATTTTATGGCATCACCTGAAATCTAGCTTCCACACACTGTTGTCTCGTGTTGGCAAACCTGAAGAAAGGCAGGACGCAGCAACAGGGGTATGTGAAGCTCTGCATGGCAAAGCCGGACTCTTGAGTTTTCCCGCCACATCTTGATTCATGTGTTTCCCAGTGGTTTTGCCCATGGCTGTTTCAGGCATCCAGTGTTGTAGAATTGGAATTTGGGATGCAGAAGGAAAGTGCTGCAACTCTACCAGCAGCCACAGGATTTCTCTCTTGCGGCTGCCACACAGAGCGTAGCCTGCTGGTTTCTGTGTGGAATTCTTTTTATTTGGGATTGGAGGTCGGCCGCTTAAGTTCCCTCCCAAATCCCCGACAAAGAAAGACATGAAGCCTCCCCTTTGGAGACTGGCCATCAGTCCCTGAATCCGGAATCGCACAAAACCCAAGCTTTCGGAGGCCCTGGATCCTACGATGCAGGAAGTGTTGCAAAAGGACCTCAAAGTGTGGAGTTTTGAAGCTGGTGCCTTCTGTTCGGAGGTCAGTTGGCAAAGGACTTCTGTGTTTTGGGGGGGATGAGGGAGCACCTTGACTTTGAGAAGTGCAGCAGGTTGTGGAAATCTAGCGACCTGTGGATTCAGGCTTGCTTCCCGATTTTTTTTTCTGTTGTTCTGGCTGTGCCCTTAGGGTTTAGGGATAATGGAAAAACAAAATGGAAACTACTATAGTATATGGGGTTTGTATAGGGATAATGGAAAAGAAAATGGAAGCTACCGTTTTGGGTTTAGGGTGGTAAACATCAGGAGCTTTGGTAGTTTGATACCTTTGGGCACTTGAGGGTTTGGTCCTTCAAGGTTGTGACAGTCTGCTGTCTGACGGCCTGGGTAACATCAAGGCATCTGGTATTGGGGTATTTCACAAGTTCCTTATGGTTTAGAGTTTAGGGTTTAGAGTCCAGGGAACATCATGCTGGGATTCTTAGAGAACTAAGGACGGATCGATGATAAGCATGCAGCGTTCTCCCAAACATTTGTTGCTAACATGAGTTCCTGATCCGCCAGTAACTGCTGTGGCTGAAGTAAGCGGCAGATGCTTCAGAACTAGACTGCCGAGGGACTGTGCCCAAACACATTCTCCGCGATATTGGTCATAGTATGCAGCAAGAGAATGCACATTTTTAAGCAAGAGAGGAGCTGTTTTTCTCCCTGGAAGTAGCTGCCAATCTGATTGCCAGAATAGCAACACCGCCAGGATCTGAGTCGGACGTAACATCCTGCATAGAGAAAACAGGTCCCCTTTACAAGAAGCATGAGCTCTCTTTCCCTGAGTTTATTATGAATGTTATTGGAAGCTGAGCTTTCTCTCCAAGTTGTGCCGTGTGGGAGGGTTGCTGGGTGACTCCAACAAAGCACAAATCTTGTGTTTATGCAAGAAATCCTGCACCACCGATTATCACCGATTTCAGAAGTTCAGGGATCTTTGGACGTTGGATGATGTGAGATTTCATCTTGATATTGTCTCTCAAAACCGATAAAAACCGAAAGCTGTTCTTTGAAGAAGCAAAGGGGTCAACAAGGCATTCTGCTGCCAGGAAGTCCGAAGTATTCCATGCGTCCAAAGATGGAGATGCGCAGGAGCCTCCAAATTTCCGCTTGCAACACAAAGAGCACCAGTATTTCTTGGTGGAATCTTTTCAGATGCGTTCCTTATTCTTTGAGTGGGTCTAAGCTGTATTTCCCGAGAGCACCCCAAGTGTGCGCGTCATGGATGGCACCTCTAAATGTGACAGCAATGGTTTCATAGGTTTGACATGCTTACCGGGGGTTAGTAAGGAATGGAGGGATTATATTATCTAGGGACGATGTAGGGATTATAGTCCCTTCTTCCCTACTAACCCCAGTAAGTCTGAGTTGAGCTCGACCTTTCTGCTGTGAGACTTGGAGAGGCTTTTGATTGCCATCGATAGCAGCAGCTTGCATTGCGAGCTTTGTTCTTTTATCTTTTGCTTTGGGGTAGTTGTGCCTACTTGCTCTTTGGCCCTTGTGCTGCTATCGTTTTGGCATGTCTCCAAGCAAGGATCCCTCTAGCTCCAATCTCCGTGGCATATGGCTCAATTCTCAAAGCTTGTCGTTGTTTGACTTCCTCGATTCCATTTTGTGCCCCTGCGCCCTTCCAAGCCATGCGATTGCCATGCTTCATCTTTGTGGTGGGCGCAGTCGCGTTTCGTGAGACTGTTGAGCTCCAGACAACTTGGTTGCATTTGGGATGTGGGCGCAGTTTGGTAGTCCAGTGCAGAGGATAAGCATCACTGTGATAATTGGCATGAATGCGAGCAGGGTCAATGGCTGTTAACTGGATAGGTGCTGTGATTACAGAATGCTTTTGTCTTTCTTGCCGCTTATCGCCGCACATGACCATGAAGTATATAAGACCTAAAACAC